AAAAGTAAAACATTTAATTTAATTTTGAATAAATAAGCTAAGACTGTTATGAAATTTCTCTTCTTACTAATCTCAATTCGCAATCCGGCTATTTTTTAAAAGTGTTATTTTGAAAAATTTTACGATTTTATTTTCCATATTTCATTCAATGCAGATGGAAATTATCCTGCATTTTCGACAAGCTTGCAAACTGTTCACTGTGTCACTTAATATTAAAAATCCAAAAATAAGTAGAAAAATAATCCTTTTTTTAAAAGAATCGAAGCGAAGAAACTTTGAATTTGACAGATGTATACCTTGACTTTGAGGATTAGCATTAATATTACATGAGCGATAAATTGTGGATTTTACCGTTCATTGATAGACACGTGACTCAAAATTACCTTTTTTTCTCCCTTGAGGTTTAGTTTCTGGAGTAGAACGATCTGGATTGAGAATTATTTATGATATAATTTAATATTTTCAGATTTGTTTTACAAATGCGAAATTCCATATTGTAACATGCTAACAGTTGTAGATAAAGAAACAGCACTATTTTATGATAAAGAAATGTATTTCAAGCATGACTGCATTTTGAATGGGGAATTCAAAAACACATTTTATAAACAATAAAAATAATTCTATAAATAATTCATAATTAAAACGCTGACGTTTTATTATATGATGCTAATGGCGCAATCATTAATTACTTTGTTTTTAAGTGAAAAATGTTTCTTTAATTTTGTGAAAAATGTGAAAAATGTTTCTTTAATTTTGGCGTGTTAAATTCTTGTGTATTATTTTTACTCAATAAAGTCCTTTATTGTATATCTTCCCATTTTGCCGATTTTTTGGTGAACTTTATAAGTTCCTTATTTATATATTTTATGGTGATCAATTAATTTTATTGAAAAATATATCATGACATATAGATATTGCGTGGTTGGCGCCGGCCATTATTTTTTCAGCCAAGAGTGCAGCCAGATTAAATGTCGACAACAGAAAAGTGTATGACTAAGCATCTGCTTGATACTGGGTAGATGTGTTGGTAGAAAAATGATGAGAACGTACACTGTAAGAAATTCCGGATCAAATTTTGGTATAAAATATTTATGGTGCATTATCCGTAAAATTTATTCCTTGAAATCCATTTTTACCGTAAAATGTTATACCGTAATTTTTACAGTTTCGGTGAAAATGGATTTTAACGTGTTTTGGCGAAAATGGATTTTACAGTGAAATGTGTCGGCATCCTGAGTGCTGGTACATTTTATCGTTATTAGATCCGGAATTTTTCTTAATGGTTTTAAAGAGGTGACCTCAAATATGCTTATTCATTAATGTAGATGATATTTTAAGTTACGAAATAAGATGCTTACATTCACTGAATATATACACCATTTTTTTTCGATGGATTTAGATTTCTAACCCCAAAATACTAGCTACAATCTTTGAAATATGGTCCCAGTAGTTTGACAAAATTTTTTGGACACAATTATTAAATTTGCTTATTCAAAGATAATTTCCCGCTAAAAACAATTTAGCAAATATTTATTATTTACTATTATTTTGATTAATAATAGTCGAAAAAAGTAATGATTTTAAATGATTTTAGGGAATAAAATTTTAGATGATAAAATACAAAATTTGAGCCAAATCGGTCGAATGAGAAATTCGAATTCATTGGAAAAAAGCATGTTTATTCAGAGAAAAAACATTTCATCTGATATTGTAACTTGAAATTTTGTCTGCATTAATTAATTAGTATATTTGGAGATCACTCTCTCAATCCATTAAGATTGTGTCCTAGAACTTAAAGATCAGATCATTAAATCAAAAATTATTCAGGGTGGTTCATTTTTTATTTTGCGCACTATACATATATATGGTGTTAAGAAACATACAATTGTTTAAAATAGCTGTGGATTAGCTGGTTATAAGATTCGCCTTTCTTTGTTACCCCCTTCTTTTAAACCTAATTTCCTTAACCGAAGACGAATAACAATAAATAATTCATCACCAAATTATAAGATTTAAAAAGAAGAAAAAAACTCGTTCACTCGCATTACCACCTTATTAAAATTGTAAGTTGCGTGTGTGTGATTTTATGGTGCAAATATCCGTAACATCTATCAAACAGTTTAACGATCTTTTGATGCAATAAAAAAAGAAAGGAAATAGCACATAAAACATTTTCAGAAAAAGCTTTTAATAGAGTAAAAAGCTTTTACTCTCATTCGGATTTCACTTTGATGAATAGGATGCTCTAAAATTACATCCTTGAACACGGACATGTTGTCATAGCAACGTTTTTATGGGTCTAATTTTTTTTCAATCCTATCATTTTTCTTCCGGTAATGTTTCCGGAGCAATTTGAAATTTAGGAACTTTTTATCAAAATGCGAATGGTTAAAATATATTTAAATGATCTTTTTATTTGGGAATTTCGTTCAAAAACTTCAAACAATACATTTCAGCGCAGATAAATTTGAAAAACCAAATTTTCTTCTTATAAATTCATAAATCTACATTTTCTTTTTAAATTAGAAGTGTTTTTGTCTCTGAGACATATTAGTTATCATTAAAGAGTTCAGAAGTTTCAAGCGAAAAAATTTTTATTCTGCAGAGAAAGATCCTATTTTAGCGTTATTAACTAAACGACATTACCTCAATGAATAAATGTACTAGTGGAAAAAGGTTCCAAGTGCACTTGACAACTGATAGCGATTGAAAACCTCAATTAGAGATGCAGATTAAAATTCGAAGGATGAAAATTATATGACTTGAATACTTTAAGGTATCTGATTAGTGAAAAAAATGATTTTGGGCAACTTTTTTCGAAAATAAGTTTATTAAAAATTTAGAATTTTTGTAGTCTTAACTTTCTAAAAATACCTTACTTTTGTTTGTTCTACAATTATTTACAAAGTTATAATAAATTTTGTGCAAGTCGAAAACAGTGGATAGACTAAAAAGTTTAAGTCTTTAAATGCATTTAACTAAAAATCGGTATTTTTTTCTCGGTATTTTACATCACCTTACACACGATATCTCTTTATAGTTTTTAAAATAATTGTCTACATTTTCTTATGAGCGTTTACGATCATAGTACGCATATTTTGAACTACAGGCTAAGAGAAAAAAGTAGAATTTCTTTTTTTATGCAAAGAAAAGTACGCTTCTTATGTTTTTTTCGCAAAGACAAGCACGGAAATTTTTAAAAATTTGCTTTCTTAACTACATCGATACCTAACTCAGTAGTATATACACTTGCTTTTAAGGTAATAGTCCAAAACATAGTTGATATCCCTCTAAATAAAATCCTCAAAGAAATTTTGGTTTCAGACGATAGAATTTTTTTTACTGTGTTTAGCGTATATGCGAAATAGTGCCTTATTTTTACCTAAAAATGGCCATATAAAAAAAAAATATTAAAACTAATTTTTTTGTTGGTTTCATAAGTTTTTACGCACAATAAAATAAATAAATTTGTTTTTAAAAATTTTACATTAATATCTAAAAAAAAGTCCGAAACTAGCCTGATACTATAAATGTTAAAAAAAAATTCTAGATTCGCTAATTAAGAAACCTATGGCAAGAGATTAAAGCAAGAAATGTTTATTTAATATTTTCAACAACAAATAATCCTTAAACCTTATTTAATAAAATGCACTGAAATGTCACTTAATTATCTATTAATTAAATGATAATTATTAAATTAATTATCTGTTTTAATTAAACACACAAATTTCTACTTAAGTAGAATTGTATTAAAGCTAGTAGAAAAAAATTCAATTTAGACAAATATTACAAAATAATATTAAATTTTTAAGTGTTTAAATATTATTCCAAAAAAATACACAAATAATCTATGTAACTAAAATATGTAACTATTTGTAACTTATAAAGTAGTTAGATTAAATATCGAATAATTAGAAATGTATTACTGAAACGGTTATTAAATTGACATGACAGAAGGATGGCCATATGCTTATTAGTCAAATTATTCCACATTTTCTTAACGGCATTACAGTTTCATGAAAAACTTGTTAATTCATCCCGTCGATTGTTTTGATAAAAATGCATATTTAAAATAAACAGTCATTTTTTATTATTAACATTAAAAATTATTTATCAGAAGTTGTTTTTAAAAATAATTTAATGAATAACTATAAGATATTTCTGCAGATTACATAAAAAAAAATTTAATATGAATAAAAGTTATTTAATAAACGTTCTCTCAAAATCTGCATTTTCCAAATTTACGCTTATGATTTATTTGTAGTCATAAACTAAACAAATCATAAGTTTAACCCATAGCTAAACTTTCAAATAAGTCAATTTAAAACAACTATTATATTCTTATACTTATCGTTACATGACTTCAGTTTTTACGCACAATAAAATAATACCACATTCTAAAAAGAAGATACTTAAATTCTCTCTCTCACTCTCTTTTTTTTAAAAAAAATGTCTAAGCGCTGACGAAGTTACAGATAAACACATTTTTTTAAGTCGTTTCGCTTTTTTTTAACGATGTAGCATGAAACAGGTATGCTGCCTTAAAACCTAATATATTGTTTAACAATGAAAAAATGACATAAGAAAAGGTAAGAAAAATTGACTATAGCAATTTTTACATTAATTATAGTTTATGTTTCTCATCCAGTTAACTTTTATAGCAAATACATTTCACTCAAATGAAAACTTTAAACGAAATTATTTTTCCCGTTTCTAAGCATTATAAAATCAGCAAATATCTTATGATTATTACCCGCATTTGCACGAATTAACTGTAATTTTAAACTTATATGAATTTAAATCGAAATCCAATGCATGAAATGTCAGAAAAATAAATCTTATCTTCAGTTAAACGTTTCATGAAACTGTTTTTCAAGTGAACACAATGAATGTTTTTTAAATGAAACATTCTACATTAATTATTCATAAATATCACTCACTATAAAAATAATGCACATTTTCCTAAAAATGAATCGTATTTTAAAAAAAGTTATATTTACCATTAGCTAAAACATTCTGGAAACAAATTAAGAGAACAACAGAAGCGATGCTTATTTCCAAATTCTTCATAAAATTACTCGTATTTTTCTTCATCGTGCAGAAAACAAATACCTTTTATATAAAAAATATATATATATCCTATGTTCACAATTATTTAAACGCACAACTTTAACTTCACTGCTAAGTCTAACCACTAACAAATCCTTACGCCGGCTCTCAAGATCAAGATGATGCGGATGGAAAGGATGCCGGGAAGATGCAGGAAGAGCTCGAAGAAGAAAGATGCTCTCCCTTCCGATTCTGGAAGAAGACTACCTGTCGACGGGATGGCCCTGAACTTGAATCAGTTCTAATCACGTGACGTTTCCACGGCCGCCATGTTTTTGAGGGTTTTCTCTTTTCACTTCATCATTCCGGGGTCAATAGCCGATCTAACGGGAAGCGGGCGGGGATCAGGTGGAAGTGATGGAGGAAAAGGAGGAGGGGAAACCAAATTGTCAAACGTACCTCTCCGATACCTGATGTTTTGATAACAGTATTAACTGTGAACCATCGAGAAGGTAAACCGCAAAGGAACGCTTCGTTAGGTTTCGATATTTTAAAAAGAAGCGATTTTTTTCTCTGTTTTTCGTAAAGCGTTTGATAAAGTTTAAGGAAAATTATAACCTTATTTTTAAATTAAAAGACAATCAGGCGTGAATAATGTATAGCTATTTCAAATTTGATTTTAATCGAAATATTTTTGTTTTTCTTTATTTTGAGAGACGTAGTCATGTTTGATACGATTGGATCTGTAGATGGCACATGATGTGTTAGATGGCACATTTATCAGATGCAGCTATACTACGTCGTAATTGGGTGAGACATACAATGAAACGTAATCAACTCAAACACGTCAACTCAAGTAGGTTTAGAAACTACAGTGAACACTAATATTAAAGTGAGTGGGAGTACAGAGAATGTAATTTAAAAGAAAGAAAAATGAATAAAAAAACTAAGAAGGGCTCTAAGGGTAAAAAAATAGCATTTTAGGCTTTTATATATCTTTCAAAATTTATTAAATAAAATTCTTATTAAAGTAATCATGTATTTTTCGCAAAACTTTAAAGCCTACGTCAAGAGTTTTAATTTTAAGACACATTGGCAGCGTTTGATTCTTTTTCTTCTAAAAATCTCAAAATTCTCAAAATCTAAGTTTTCCTTCTTGCAATTTTTTAATCAAAATTTGAAGTAATAAAATATATTAAGTTATTTTAATATGTCTTTACGTCTATTTTATACTTCAATAAAAATTTTAAAAATATTTTAATGAACACAGTAATTTTTCTTATTATTTAAAATGAATTTATGAGAATTTGAACAGTTTGTGTTGATTTAAAAGAGTTCTATTGTCTCCTGAGTTTTGTGTGGTCAGTTCACCATTATTTGAAGTACAATATCTCGAATATTACTATCGATAACACGACCTTTTTTTATATATATTTAAGAGCATGTTAATTATTCTCGTTTCACTCACTTTAACTCAACTTTTTTTTTTAAATGATGGCCCAATGTTTTATAGAATTAACTAAACCACAAGCAAGTAGATAAAAACTGCGTGCTAGCAATTATTCCGATGGATGTGTCTAATCACGTGGTTGTGCATGGCGGTACAGCTTTAAGGTTTGGGTTTATTATCATGCTGAATCAATTTTCGGATCAAATTTAGTTGGATGTTGGAAACCTGCAAGTGAGTCATGCGTGTGTGGGTCGAATTTGATTGGCTGACCCACGCGTGACGTCACTTGCAAGTATCCAATTTTTTTTTACTACAGTGCTTGATATCTATGAACAATCACCAACCAGCCAAAAACTATTTTAGCCAGAGTGAGTGAAAGGGGCAACGCATGTGTGAAGTGATTGAACTTGTTTTCTTTATTGTTCGTAATGTTGACTTCAATTCTGCACTGTATTGTATATACATTTGGAAAGGAAAGGAGTTAATATAGATTTATACCCTCAAATTTATATTTAATTAAAACCTACCAAGTTCTGGACGAGATTTGTGTCTATTATTGCTTGGAAGAAACTTTTTATTGGCATAAAGGTGTCTGAGTAAAGTAATTAACTTGGAAAATAAAATTAATCTTTATATCTATTAATGAGTTATACCCATAAGGGAAAACCAAGGAGAACAAGCTACTATAGCCTTTGGAGGGATGCTTTTTCTTTATTGTTGATGTTTTTGGTAGTTTTATAACTGTGAAATAAACTTAAGTGATATTTGTAATTATTTATTGTCGATACTTTTTATGCTTAAAGAGGAGGAATATTTTGAACTTTTTAATTAGGGAGTATATTGTGATATACTTATCGTATACAAATGTACTTTTTCAACTGGTAATATTTTATTTAAGTTAATTGTTTCAAAATGAAACAGTTAATATTTTTTAAATATGTCTTTCTTATCATAACATTAACTTCCTAACTGGTTGCTGTCTATATATGTTAATATTTTATGTGATAATATCATCATAGAAAATATGCAATAAATATTTAAAAATTTATTCACCTAAATTAGAAACAAACTAATTAAATAAACAGTAATAATGAATAAAAAATAATAATAAATTTAAAAATTTATTCGATTAAATGTCATAGTGATCCTCGAATATAAATTCATTGTTTGAAAATAACAAATTACATCTGACTCAATATTTAAATGCCTTAAATTAAGGCGTAAATAATTTAATTCATTTAATCTTTAAAGCAAATAAACCATCCCTTTATGCGTCAGTTTTGAGATGCAATCTTTAAGAGAATATTTTTTTTCCAGGTAATTTTTACTGCTTCTCTTTTCTTTATTTATTTTTTTATTTTTTAGCCTTGATTTTTGCACATTTTTGATTTTGTCTTCTGAAAATTATCTTTCACAAAAACTTCTAACAGTAAAAGAATTTAAGGATTCACAGTAAAACGATTAAGAGATTGTTTCGGAAGTAAATAAAAATTTGTGTTTTGAATTTTAAAAAAAGTCCCATGTGCATTTTTATTGCTTTCAGATAAGAAGAAATTTACTAAAATTTACGGAGTTGTATGCATCAGTCTTTGAAGGAGGAATTGTGTACACCTATGTGAATCCCCTAGAAGAAGAAGATTGTTATAATTTATACTGAAGCATAAAATGCCCCCTGATGAAATGCTCCTTCGACGATGTTTAGAGAAATTGAAAATATCCTCAAACGATATGAATCCTCTGTCCAAACGACAATTTTTGTTATTTTGAATTTGAAAACTGAAATCAAAGATAGAAAAACTGAATTTTCGTTTTATAAAACTCTAGTTGACTATAGTAGAAAGCGATATAATACAGAAATTAATAAATGATTTAACAGGTCTCAAAATTTATCAAGATCAAGCCCTGAGCGTGTTTTTAGAATGAATGATTAAATAAACCCTGTAAAATGACTCGTTTTGGCAAAGCCGCAGGTGCGAAGAAGTCGACCCAAACTGCGATGGATGGATGCAGTTGAGAGAGATTTTGGAATCCTAAAAGTTATAGCAGGAGGATTCGTTGTCATTCAGAGGGTTGTTGGAAAATCTCACCAAAAGAAAGTTTTGTCCCCCTAGGTATGACGTGCGAATGATGATGATAAAATCAACAATTAATCTAACTTAAACCGGTATCAAAAAGTTTTCAATCGGTTTTCAGATTCAAGTCATGCCGCTGCGGCTCAGGGAATAGAGGGTCTGCTCTCGACCCGCACTGATCACACTGCTGGAGTAAAATATCCACAGTGGTAAACAGATCATGAGTTAGAACCCTTTTGTCGTTGGGTTAAACATAGACGGTTTTCATGGCCTTGCTCTTCATGTAAGGCAAATGGGGATTAGTTCCCTCAAAAAGTCCTCCTCGAAGGTTAGTTTGTAACAATGCTTGATACAGGAGTTTCCTTGTCTTCTGAACTGGGTTCAAAATTACAAGGCTACCGAAATGAATATTGATAGTCTTAAATCCAGAATTGGGTCGGCTGTTCAGCGCATGTTATAAAGTTATACAAAGGTTATAAAGTTCGTTATAAAGCCGGTTATAAAGTTTACACGTATGTTATAAAGTATGGTTGGGTTCAAAATTACACGGCTACGGAGTTGAACATTGATAGTCTTAAACTCTGAATTGGGTCGGTTGTTCAGCGCATGTTATAAAATAAAAGGAAATATTGAATTGATTAAAATTATTAGCATCGAATTATAGTAATAATTACATCCTCATTATACTGGTTAAAAGATATCGAGAAGAAGAAAAAATAACCTCAAGCGTTATGAATGAGTGAACCCTCCGTCAAAAAGGCAATTGTTATTATTTTGAAATCGAACTTTCGATAGGACCAAGGTTTTCGCCTGCCAGTTTAATTCTCGTTTTCATTCTTTTTTCTTTTTTTTAAAATTTATTTTGTAACACGTGTTGATCAGCAGACCCAATTTTGAGTTTACGACTACTAATGTTCAACTCCGTAATTTGTAATTTTAAACCCTACCCAGAAGGCAAGAGACATCCTGGATTAAGTATTTAAGCAAATTAATCCTCGTGGTGAATTTTTTAATGGAACTAACCCACATTTGCGTTACATGGAGAGAAAAACCACGAAAACCTTTCAAAGTTAACTCGTAAGCAGGGGGATTCTGACCAATATCCGTCTACCACTAAGGATATTTAAAGCTAACACTGTGGCCGGTGCGAGCCTGGAGCAGAATTCATATCAACCAGCCACCGCTGGAATTAGAACCTGGGTTACCTCATTGGGAGGCGAGCGCTTTATCCAATGAGCCACCGTGGCTCACGTCTGATTCTCGTTATCATGAATGGACTTTAACCACAAGCAATAAATATATAAAAATAGATAATACTGACCATTTTAAATATATTTTTCAGTGTCACGCCTAAATATCACGTCACTTTTGCATACTCTTCAATAAGTCCTTTAAAACTGGCTATTCAATAACTTATGTATCTTTATTTTTTAAAATGATTTTTAAAACTAATATTTATTTCCAAATCCAAAAACTGGAGTTTATTAAATTCGATAAGATATCACCGGGCGTCTCGAAGTTGTAGGATAATTCGAAAATTTTATTGTTGAAAAGCGGAAGAACCGAAATAATAAATCAACTATGCCCATAATATTAAATATTTAAGTAAATCTGTCAAAGGCTCTGGTCATTGAGTATAATAATTTTAAAATTATATTTATATTAAAATACGTATTTATTTTAGTATTTGAGATACTTTTCGTTAGCCAGTTTAAGTCGTTCTTTTTTCTTCTACGATAAATAAAGA